TTTTGGTGTCCCGTTAGAGGAGGCTGTGGCCATCTCGAAGAGCGTAGAGGGCTTGGAGCTGCCCTCGGTCATCTTCAGGTGCATACAGTACCTCGAGAAACGTAGAGCCGCTGACGAAGAGGGCATCTACCGTTTAAGTGGATCTTCCGCAGTGATCAAGGCTTTGAAGGATCGTTTCAATGCGGAAGGCGACGTGGACCTCTTGGCTACTAGTGAGCCTGCGCACGACGTTCACGCTGTAGCCGGATTGCTCAAAACTTTCCTCAGAGAACTTCCAGCGCACGTACTCACTCGCGAGCTACAAGCAGACTTTATGCACGCAAATGACATTGCTGATCGTCGGGAGCGGGTCAACGAGCTCGGCGCATTGGTATCGTACCTCCCGTTGGCGAACTACTCTTTGCTCCGCGTACTCTGCAGCCACCTCATCAAGATCATCGAGCGCTCCGATGTCAACAAGATGAACATGCGCAACGTGGGAATCGTCTTTAGTCCCACCCTCAACATTCCTGCCGGCGTCTTTTCGTTATTTTTGACAGAGTTCGATTGGATTTTCTACACGGGCGCAAAGGGCGAGCCAGCACCGCGACACATGGATGAAGACATCCAAGCTCCAGACAGTGGCGAGCTCGGCACACCGTACTTTCCCGCCCAGCAATTGGCGTCAGAAGGGCCGAGCGCCTCGTCCAGCGAGAGCGAGACGTACGAAATGAGTCCACCTCAGGTCAACAGAAATTTGGATCCGCAGAGCTCGCTTAAAGGTAGAAGGAACCGAAGCTCATGGATCAAAGGCGGACAGCTGCACATGGGCGACGGTCACATTGTGACCACCAATCAACAAATGCACCGAAACAACCGCAACTCGCTGCAGTACGACGACGAGGAAGCGAATCGGCTGCTAGGCCCGCAAGGCCCTGGGCGGCTGACGTCTCATCGCGAAGCGGATGAGAGCGGCGCTCTTGGGTCATCAAACCCTCAGGATGATTCCATGTACGAAGCGGCAGACTTTGGAGGGTTGGATGAAGATGAATACCCAGATACTGCTCTCGGTGGTGCAAGCGGCGGCATCTCGACCGCATTCGCTGGCAGCGGCGTTCCGCACTCCCCTCATCCCTATGCTTACTCTCAACAACAGACCTTGGGTCTCAACGTGGCCCAAAATTCATCGATACCTCCGAGCCCTGCAGGCAGTGCTCGCTCCCCACGGACCACCGCTAGAGGGCCGGGGGACCCCCAAGCACCTTCACCCCGGACACCTGCCTTTCCGCGCTCTCCACCGCCAGCAGCTTGAGCCAAGGCGAGCTTCAATT